CAGGTGAGGAAGATGTCACCCTGTTTCTCTGCTCTCCCTCTGGGGACATAGAAATCATCTGCCAAAGAGGCTGCAGGCTCTTGAGCCTGAGATTCACTTTCCAGAGCAAGGAACAGCTCAGTGCCATCCTCTTCAGACTTATATTCCTTGTGAAACAGAGACCCAAGGCAGTCAGGGGTCAGTAACTCAGCTGGGTGACCACACAGGTCCTGCAACAATCCTGCAGCTTCAGGGAGCTAGGAGTGAGTCAGCGCCTGTGGAATCAGGCCCTGGGAGGAGAAGGCACCTTTGGACGGCAGCGTCTTTGCTAGGAGGCAGCGGAGAAGAAAAATAAAATCAAGAGGGATTTCAGTTCCTTAATCCTAACAATGAGGGCTGGGCAGGAGGCAGGGATGAAGGAAATGCTAGACTGCCTTGCTTGGGAGCAATTAGAAACTTCTACTGCTCTGACCAGACAAGTTGCATCTGATTATTGCAGTTCACAGTTAACCTCTGCTTTGCAGGACTTCTCTTGAGATCCAAGATTTACAAGAGGTGATGGTGACACTTGGGCAGACACACATCATCTGTGGGGAGCACCATCAAACACAGCTTTACCTCATCTCCGAGTGTCCTTCAAGCATCCCGCAATGGAGTTATTTTTCACATGGCAGGTTCTGATCAGCCTCATACGGCTGATTTTTGGTGTAAGTTCACCCAAGAACCCATGGAGAGCTGAAGGGACAGGGGGCCTGGTCTGGTATCACTGCCTTTGGTCAAAAAGCCCAAGAAATCTGTGTCCCACAGTTCAGGGTGGCTGAGATAGACTCACCCTGGGAACACTCCAGCTTTCCTCTTCTGGATAAGTGTCGTTCCCAGAGGAAGGTGGATTTTGGGTCAGGTTCCCAGCTACCAGAGCTCCTCCCCACCAAAGCAGTGCTAGAAACTCTCAGCTTCACCACTGCTGTGTGTGATCAACCCTCTGAGGAGGAGGAGGGAACATTCTCCGCACCACGGAGCTGCTCTGCAGGGCACAAACCTGCAGCTCTCCTCAGCCTCCTCCCAACCAAGAGCTCTGTTATCATGGAATCACAGAACTGTCAGAGTTGGAAGGGACCTCTAGAGCCCATCCAGTCCAACTCCCCTGCCAAAGCAGGGCTGCCCAGAGCACAGCACTCAGGAGCAGCCAGGTGGGGCTTGAAGATCTCCAGAGAAGGGGACTCCACACCCTCCCTGGGAAGCCTCTGCCAGGGCTCTGCCACCCTCACCCCAAACAACTTCTTCCTCACATTGCAGTGGAACTTCCCATGGTCCAGCTTGTGCCCGTTGCCCCTCGTCCTGTCACTGGGAACCACTGGAAAGAGCCCGGCTCCATCCTCCTTCAACCCACACTTTAGACACTTGGAAGCATGAAGAAGGTCTCCCCTCAGCCTTCTCTTCTCCAGGCTCAAGAGCCCCAGTTCTCTCAGCCTTTCCTCAGCAGGGAGATGCTCCAATCCCTCCATCATCTCTGGTGCCCTACGCTGGACTCTCTCCAGCAGTTCCCTGTCTCTCTGGAACTGGGGAGCCCAGCACTGGAGGCAGGATTCCAGTTGTGGCCTCCCCAGTGCAGAGCAGAGGGGGAGTAATTAACCTCACAGCTCCAAATGAGTCCCTTATTTTCCAGTTACTGCTAACGAGAGCTTTGCAGAGCTACTCAGCCTGACTCCTCCCGCAGGGTTTACATTTTGAACGACTGCTCCAGTCTGAGAATAAGCCCAGCTTTCCTCCTCTCTCCCCGTCCCTCTCCCACCCCACAAGGCATCCATAGGGCTGGAGGAGCCCCAGAGCCCCCCAGCCCTGCCCCAGCCTGATCATGGACCTCTCTGACATCAGGGTGACACAATGGGTGGCCATGGGGTGGCTTCACTCTGTCCCCATGGCCCAAGAGGATCGTGCCAAGAACATGGGAACCCATGGGATGTCTATGCCTGTCCTGGAGGGGGGTCAGAGGACATCTGGGAGCTGGAGCAGCTCTGTAATGGGGGGCACAGGTGAGGAAGATGTCACCCTGTTTCTCTGCTCTCCCTCTGGGGACACAGAGATCATCTGCCAAAGAGGCTGCAGGCTCTTGAGCCTGAGATTCACTTTCCAGAGCAAGGAACAGCTCAGTGCCATCCTCTTCAGACTTATATTCCTTGTGAAACAGAGACCCAAGGCAGTCAGGGGTCAGTAACTCAGCTGGGTGACCACACAGGTCCTGCAACAATCCTGCAGCTTCAGGGAGCTAGGAGTGAGTCAGCGCCTGTGGAATCAGGCCCTGGGAGGAGAAGGCACCTTTGGACGGCAGCGTCTTTGCTAGGAGGCAGCGGAGAAGAAAAATAAAATCAAGAGGGATTTCAGTTCCTTAATCCTAACAATGAGGGCTGGGCAGGAGGCAGGGATGAAGGAAATGCTAGACTGCCTTGCTTGGGAGCAATTAGAAACTTCTACTGCTCTGACCAGACAAGTTGCATCTGATTATTGCAGTTCACAGTTAACCTCTGCTTTGCAGGACTTCTCTTGAGATCCAAGATTTACAAGAGGTGATGGTGACACTTGGGCAGACACACATCATCTGTGGGGAGCACCATCAAACACAGCTTTACCTCATCTCCGAGTGTCCTTCAAGCATCCCGCAATGGAGTTATTTTTCACATGGCAGGTTCTGATCAGCCTCATAGGGGTGATTTTTGGTGTAAGTTCACCCAAGAACCCATGGAGAGCTGAAGGGACAGGGGGCCTGGTCTGGTATCACTGCCTTTGGTCAAAAAGCCCAAGAAATCTGTGTCCCACAGTTCAGGGTGGCTGAGATAGACTCACCCTGGGAACACTCCAGCTTTCCTCTTCTGGATAAGTGTCGTTCCCAGAGGAAGGTGGATTTTGGGTCAGGTTCCCAGCTACCAGAGCTCCTCCCCACCAAAGCAGTGCTAGAAACTCTCAGCTTCACCACTGCTGTGTGTGATCAACCCTCTGAGGAGGAGGAGGGAACATTCTCCGCACCACGGAGCTGCTCTGCAGGGCACAAACCTGCAGCTCTCCTCAGCCTCCTCCCAACCAAGAGCTCTGTTATCATGGAATCACAGAACTGTCAGAGTTGGAAGGGACCTCTAGAGCCCATCCAGTCCAACTCCCCTGCCAAAGCAGGGCTGCCCAGAGCACAGCACTCAGGAGCAGCCAGGTGGGGCTTGAAGATCTCCAGAGAAGGGGACTCCACACCCTCCCTGGGAAGCCTCTGCCAGGGCTCTGCCACCCTCACCCCAAACAACTTCTTCCTCACATTGCAGTGGAACTTCCCATGGTCCAGCTTGTGCCCGTTGCCCCTCGTCCTGTCACTGGGAACCACTGGAAAGAGTCCGGCTCCATCCTCCTTCAACCCACCCTTTAGACACTTGGAAGCATGAAGAAGGTCTCCCCTCAGCCTTCTCTTCTCCAGGCTCAAGAGCCCCAGCTCTCTCAGCCTTTCCTCAGCAGGGAGATGCTCCAATCCCTCCATCATCTCTGGTGCCCTACGCTGGACTCTCTCCAGCAGTTCCCTGTCTCTCTGGAACTGGGGAGCCCAGCACTGGAGGCAGGATTCCAGTGGTGGCCTCCCCAGTGCAGAGCAGAGGGGGAGAATGACCTCCCTCCACCTCCTGGCCACACTCTGCCCTACGCAGCCCAGGATCCCATTGGCCTCTTGGCCACAAGGACACATTGGTGGCCCATGGAGAGTTTACTGGCCACCAGAACCCCCAGATCCTTCTCCTCAGAACTGCTTTCCAGCTCTCCCTGCATCCATGTCTACGCTCCTTAAACTCTGTGTGAGGACTTCTCCAAGGCTGAACACACGTAACACGAGTGCTCTGACTCCTCCTGCCCTGCAGGTTTTTGCAGACTGTAAGGACAATTCTCCCCCATCCCCTGAGGATCCCTGATGGGATGTGACCAGCCTACTGGTATTTAGCCAGGGTGCCCGTAAGACAGCACAGCAGCAGGAAGAGGCAACAAGGCAGGAAGGGCAGTCTGGGGTCCATCAGGCATCAAAGCTGCTGGTCCTTCTAAAAACCCAGTATGAGCAGCACCCAGGGCTTTAGTGCAAACAGGAGACTCTGGTACCAACTGGGTTTGGTTCCAGGCTGAGTCTTTTCCTTCTGCTGCAAGGGAAAGGGACTCCAGATCCAACCCCAGGGGAAGAAAAGGCAGAGAGGCATCAAAGCTGCTGGTCCTTCTAAAAACCCAGTATGAGCAGCACCCAGGGCTTTAGTGCAAACAGGAGACTCTGGTACCAACTGGGTTTGGTTCCAGGCTGAGTCTTTTCCTGCGCTGCAGGATAAAGGGACTCCGGATCCAACCCCAGGGGAAGAAAAGGCAGAGACGGCTGACAGCCCCTACCTCCATCAGGTCTATCAGCCACAGGAGTCGCTCCTGGGGACGTGCGAGGGGAAAAGCAGATTCAAACAAGCACAAAAGCGAAAAGGTAACGTCAGGGAGGCTGCGGAACAAACCAGCAAGAGAAGCAAATCCCACCACAATGCATCCCTCCCCCCCCACAACCCACCCTGAGGAACCCAGCACCCAGGGCTGGATGGGAAGGGTGAAACCAGCCCCTGCTGCTGGGGAGGGTGACAACAGTGGGGGCAAACAGTTTGGGAGCTCTGCCCCTCTCCTCTCTCTCCTGCCAGCTGAGATAAGCTGATGCTCTTTGCTTTCAGTGGTGACAACCATCTCAAGTGTTAGTGTTCCCACCACCCACGGCAGAGCTCAGAGGGGTGGCATGTTCTCATGCCCATGGAGAGAGGTGACACGCTGCCAAGGACAACCTGTAGTGCGACTGAGGGATATGTGTTCAGGAAAAAAGCTCTTAAAACAGTGGTGGATGGGTGAAAAGAGGTGGCTGTTCACGTGGTGGAGTTGCAGGCTGGCCCCTGGGTGGTTTGTCCCCCCACTTCTTCCCTCCCTCCCACCCCACACCTGTCCACACGCCCCCCCCAAACCCTCTCCCATGGCCACCCCGCCCCTACCTCCATCAGGTCTATCAGCCACAGGAGTCGCTCCTGGGGACGTGCGAGGGGAAAAGCAGATTCAAACAAGCACAAAAGCGAAAAGGTAACGTCAGGGAGGCTGCGGAACAAACCAGCAAGAGAAGCAAATCCCACCACAATGCATCCCTCCCCCCCCACAACCCACCCTGAGGAACCCAGCACCCAGGGCTGGATGGGAAGGGTGAAACCAGCCCCTGCTGCTGGGGAGGGTGACAACAGTGGGGGCAAACAGTTTGGGAGCTCTGCCCCTCTCCTCTCTCTCCTGCCAGCTGAGATAAGCTGATGCTCTTTGCTTTCAGTGGTGACAACCATCTCAAGTGTTAGTGTTCCCACCACCCACGGCAGAGCTCAGAGGGGTGGCATGTTCTCATGCCCATGGAGAGAGGTGACACGCTGCCAAGGACAACCTGTAGTGCGACTGAGGGATATGTGTTCAGGAAAAAAGCTCTTAAAACAGTGGTGTCCACTCCCTCCTCTACGCCAGAACAGCACCCTGACCTCTGGGCTCGTGTGCCATGGTGGGGTTGGGCCACCACTCACACACCAGGCCAAGCAGCAACACTTGGCACGTGGTGTCACGGAGCAGGAGGGAGAAAACGAGGGACCCGAAGCAAAGGCACAGCCCCAGGCACGGGGATGGCATGGGAAGAGGGTGCCACGCTCAGCACACAACCCCTGGCAGACTTTTGTTAGTCCTCAGAAACTTCAGCAAGGCTTTCTTGGCAGGCCTTCGGAGAGTAGAGCAAAACTCACTGGGTTTATCCTCACCCAAAAAGGATCTCCCCGTAATCCATCCTGAAGGGAGCAGATGGCTTTCCTACGGGCTGTTTGTGAAGTCATGGGGACAAAAGCACAGCTCTGATGCTCTGAACCTCTCCGAGGCCTCTTGGAAGGCTGGAGCACGCTGTGCAGGGAGGAACAGCCCCCAGGAACACCCCCCTGTTGGCTGTTGCCTGGACCCTCCACAGCACAACCCCACTCGCCCTGGCCGGGGGCTCCTTTCCTTGCTGTCAAACTTGCAGAAAAGCCCATTGTCATCCCTTCTTTTCATCAAGGTTTTTAATTTCCAAGGTTGCTAATGCATTTACGATGAAAGGCATTTTACGGCCGGGAAATTAATTTCGGGATTGTGCGCCTGCACACTCCGAGGTGATTAGGATAACTTAATTAGGCGGTGCGTGCGACGAAGGCCCGGGCAGAGAGACGTGGGAGGGAGTGCTGCAGCTTAACGCTGGGACAGGATGGAGCTGGTCTGGCCACTGTGGTCCCCAGTGGGACAGGGAACAGGAGTCTTTAAGGATGTGATTTAAAAGCAACTACCAGAGCTGGGGAACAGCAGCCACAAGTCACTGAGATTTTTGCATGGATGGAGCTCCTGTGGCCCGGTGGAGGCCCTGGAAGGGAGGCAGATGTCCTCCTTCCCCATGCAGATGAGAGCAGCATCTCAATTTTGGGGCACAGAGATACCAAGCAGGAGTCACTGCATCACCTCATTGCACCTACAAATCATGCTACTGCAGGAAAAAGTAAAAAGCTTAGAGGGAATCCATGGGGGAAGCATGGATTAAGGGAACCCTCAGCCTGAGCAGGGTTTCCTGTGGGGTGAAATGCTTTTCTAGCACTCCAGGGAAAGGAGTTTGTCTTGGGGCTGCTGCTGAAAGACAAAGGAAGAGCCAGGAGGGACTCACCCGGGCCGAGCTGACGGTGGTGGCGGTGAAGTGACTGCTGGAGGAGGAGACGGTGTCGCTGTAGGACATCATAGAGTAGGAGTCGGTGCCGACGCCAGGCCCCGAGGGCTGTCGGGCCTTCATGGACTCGATCTCTCTCTTCAGCACCAGGTTGTCGAAGCGGTCGAGGTCTTGCGGGGAGATGACGCCCCGCACCTCTGAAAGCAGTGAGAACTGGGCCAGGCAGACAGACAACCAAAGAGAGGTTGGAGCACGACCATACTCCTGGGTAGGTGAAGACCCATCCTCCCACACTGTTCCTCAGTGGTAACGAGATGTACCAGTGGGTAACACATGAGGAGGTTGGGTCCTAAACTTTACCAGAAGCTCCTCTGGCACCGAAGACCAGCCTGTATCCCCCATCATGTCCTACATCTACATTTTGCTTTCACCCCCTCACCCTTGACGCTGAGCAGATAACCTTGGAGGCACCGAGCCACATGGTGACAATGGCTCTGCTCAGTCCACCAGGTACCAGAAACTGTCCCTGACCTTGGTGGGAGCCTCACCTTAGCATGTGTGTTGAGAAGCTCGAAGAGCGCCATGACCAGAGCGTCCACGGAGATGTTGCCTTCCTTATACTCATCAAGATAGTAGCCCATGGTCGCCCGCTCCTGTTCGTTCAGCAGGTGCCGTGCCTGTTCCTCCAGCATGACCCGGGTCTGGTTCACCATGGTGCTCAGTGTCACCTGCGAGCCGGCCAGGCCCCGGTAAAACACGGGCTGCAGAAGAAGACAGGAGATAGGTTTTGGCCTGGGATGCTGGCCTGTATCAGGAACAGCGTGGTGAGTAGGACTCGGGAGGTGATCATCCCCCTGTACTGGGCACTGGCGAGGTCCCACCTCAAGGGCTAGGTCCAGTTTTGGGCCCCTCACCACAAAAAAGACATCGAGGGGCTGGAGCGGGTCCAGAAAAGGGCAACGGAGCTGGTGAGGGGTCTGGAGAACAAGTCTCCTGAGGAGAGGCTGAGGGAGCTGGGGGTGTTCAGCCTGGAGAAGAGGAGGCTGAGGGGAGACCTTCTTGCTCTCTCCAACTCCCTGAAAGGAGGGGGTAGCCAGGGGGGGTCGGTCTCTTCTCCCAAGGAACAGGCCATGGGACAAGAGGGAATGGCCTCAAGTTGTGCCAGGGGAGGTTCAGATTGGAGATTGGGAAAAATGTCTACACGGAAAGGGTTATGAAGCCTTGGACTGGGCTGCCCAGGGAAGGGGTTGAGGCACCGTCCCTGGAGGGATTCAAAAGATGGGTTGACATAGTGCTTAGAGACATGGGTCAGTGATGGGTTATTTTGTTTTTATCAGAATTAGGTTGATGGTTGGACTGGACGATCTTAAAGGTCCCTTCCAACCCAGACAATTCTATGATTCTATGAATGAGCTGCTGAAAGGAGGGAAGCCACCCCTCTGCTGAGACAGCTGGGAAACACAGGCAGGATCAAGAATTGTCCCCTTGCCCCTGGCTCTGCCCACCAGCCCACACTGCTCTCACCCAACTACCTGTGGCCAAGCTGGGAAGTGGGACTGGAAGGGGGGTGCCCAGAAGGACCAGAGGCAGTCACCCCCAAGGACTGACCGTCACGGCTGCTCCCTCAGTGTCACTACTTGGCTGAGTAACTCCAGAGCCATGAGATTACGTGGCACCAGTTGAATAAATAAAGCAGCTTCCCAGCTCTGCTGAGCCTTCATGGATGCTGCCCCTTGACCAGTTATTGATTTAACAGCAGCCTGTGTTGCCTCCTGGCAGCCCTGGGGGCACTGGGGCCATCCAGAAGCTTCCCATCTTTACAGAAGCTTCCCATGATGTGTAAAAGGCACTTTCACCCCCGCTGCAAACTGGAAGCAGATCCTGGTGAAGAAAGAGCTGCTGGCAACCAGAGGACTCCCATGGAGAGACGTGTCTGGCTGCAGATGAAAGGCTTTTTTCTTTGAGAGGGATTTCTAAGAGGAGGTCCTTGCTGTTCCCCTCCCAGGCAGTGCTGGCACAGGGATATGGAGCCAGGAGAGAGCCTGACTATCCCGGAGACAGAGGAGTTGAGGCTGGGGAGCATGTTTTGCCAGCAAACAGCTCAAAGCCTTTATCAGCCAGAGCCACCTGTGAAACCTCCCTGCTTCATTTCCATTTAAAAGAAACAGGCTTTGCCAAGAGGCGTTAGGAGAAGACAGGCTGGCACAGAGACAGTCCCAGCAGTGGGTGAAGTCCCTGTCACTGGTGTGCTGGAGAAGGCTGGCTCAGCTCTGCTCCGGGGTGGGAAAGATCCCAGGAGCCATTAGGGCTGACAGCCACCACGTGGAAGGTGTCACGGTCACCTCTGCAGGGTGGAAGGAGCCCCCATGGTCCTTGCCCGTGTGTGATCATTGCCCCTTGGCCATCCACGTGATCATTTCCAGGCTGCGAGGAACCAGATGTGCTGACCCACCAGCGGCACAGGAGAGGGGACACCCAGTGTGTGACTGGTTGTAGGAACATAGCTGGCAACGTGAGATGGGGAGGGGAAGGGCTAGAGCCAGATAAAACCTCATAAAACTAACATCCTTTTTATAATCAGGAGCACAAAGCCCTCCCTCCCATGGAAAATAAGAGACAATAACGGTGATTTTTTTTTCCCCCCCAAGGCATCAGGAAGGTCTGGTATCTCTTACCCTGGCTGTGGCCTCCGCAGCATGGTTGCCCACTGCCCTGCGAGAAGGGAGAAGATCAGTTAGCACCCAGCAGCACGTGCCCATCACTCATCACCGGAGGCCCAGCACGAGATCTCTTACGTTCTCTCCTCTCTGTGCCTGGAGGCTAAAAGCTTCTGGCCTGAGAGGACAAGGAAAGGGCAGCAGCACATTGTCCAGACCTGACCCACCTCACAAACCAGAGATGCTGTCTTCTAAGCACCAGATATGGAGGCCACATGGCCAAGAACGCAGTGTGCCCCCATTGACAGGTTGCCCACGCGCATCTCAGAGCATCAGGTTGCCACCATGTCATGTAGCAGGGCTCTGCACCCACCCTGGGTGACTGCGTCCACCAGCCAGGAGCTCTGAGCTGACAGATGGACACAAGGAGCTCACAAGAGGTCCACCAAGCACGTACCCTGGGGAGTTGACGAGGGTGTCTCCGATCTGGGAGCTCGCTATCCACCTGGTCTCATCCACGGTGGTGCGGGCATGGGGCAGCCTCCCGATGTCCTTCACCGTCATGATGAGGTGGCGGGAAGACTTGAGGAGCTTCACCGCCTCGTCATGGGGGATGCTGAGGAAGCTCCTGCCGTTCACCTCCAGGATCTGGTCTCCGACCTGCGGAGTGAGGATGGGGTGAGCTGGCAGGCGCTGGGGGCTTTCCTGTTGGGAATATATTGCCTTCTCCCACCAGGGAAAGGCTACTCAGTCTAACCCACCACCAAACCAGGGACACAGCAATTGGAGGGACCAAGAATAACAAGGGAGAGGGACCAAGCACTGGTGGCTGGAGCTCAAGCACTCAAGCCAACAACCAGTAAAGGATCAGGCTGAGGAGCCTGTTTAGGATCCCAAGTCAGACCAGTCTGCCCAGTCCCTTCCATTAACCAGATTTTCCAACCAACTCGGTTAGAAATGAGCCCCAGAGCATATCAAGGTTTCCAGCCCCAGTCCCTCCTGCTGATCTGGGAGGCCAGGAACCATCTGTGGAAGCCTCCAACCTCTGGATCTCTGTGTGGAGCGGGGAGGGTTCAACTCGAGTGTCTCACCACCGCCTCCAGCTCTCTGTAAAGTCTGCGATCAGGGACAGCTGGACTTCATCTCCCTTCTCCTCCCATTTCCTCCCCAGCTGCTCCTGAAAGCTTTCAGTTTATGGCCAGGCCTTTGCTGTCATCAGGAGCTTCCCTGACAGCCTGGCCATGTTCAAGACACAGCATTCATCTGGCATTTCCCCTTTCATCCCAGGTCCTCTTCCTCTTTGCTTCCAGGGCATTTGGTGCTACTCCTCCTCACTCCCGTATCCCAGTTCACCCTGTTTCTGATAAACCACCTCTTTGAAACTTCTCTTTCATATCTTTGCTTAACCATGGGTTTCTCTTCAGCTCTGTCAAAACACAGTCTTAATCTCTTCACGCTGCAGTGCAAGCAGAATGAGACACTCCTTTAAATAACCCACCTCCATCTCGGAGGAAGAAGAGGAGAGAAGAGGGAGGGGGTGGAATTTCTAAGTCTAAGACAACAACTTGGAGTCAACGTGATCCTTTCAGCCCAGTCCCTCTCATTCTGCTGGGTTAAGGAAGCCTCAGAGGGCTTGGGATTGATTCTCCAGACTCTGACTCCAGTGAGAAGCCACCACTAACCACTGCCAAGTGGTGGGCTGGGACTCTGCTGTCACCCAAGTTTCCCCCAGTGCTACCCAGAACCCTGCTGGGGTGAAAGTGGACGTCAGGAGGACCACCAGAAAAATCTCAGAGCTCAGCATAAAGCCCGAGAGATCCATCTGCTGCTCCAGCAAGGAAGGGAAGCAGTTGCTGATCCGAGGAAATAGCAGGTGACCCACAAATCACAGCACAGTCCCTGCACTTGGACATTTTATGCTGTTTTATGCTACAGCCGTGCTGAAGATTCCAAAAGCAGAGGCTCACAGCTTGCACCAGCTGCTCTCCAGGCACAGCACTGCCAGATGAGACGGAGGAAGGCTGGGGGCTTCAGTAGGACTGATGGACAAATCCAGGCACCAATACTGCTTGGGAGGAGAATGGCTTGAGAGCAGCCAGGAGGAGAAGGACTTGGGGGTGTTGGTGGATGAGAAGCTCAACATGAGCCAGCAACGTGCTCTGGCAGCCCAGAAAGCCAACCCCATCCTGGGCTTCACCCCCATCCCCGTGGCCAGCAGGGCGAGGGGGGGGGATTCTGCCCCTCTGCTCCGCTCTGGGGAGACCCCCCTGAGGTGCTGCCTCCAGCTCTGGGGCCACCAAGAGCAGAAGGACATGGAGCTGTTGGAGTGGGGCCAGAGGGGGCCACGGAGATGCTGGGAGGGCTGGAGAACCTCTGCTGTGGGGACAGGCTGAGAGAGTTGGGGGGGTTCAGCCTGGAGAAGAGAAGGCTCCGGGGAGACCTTAGAGCCCCTTCCAGTCCCTAAAGGGGCTCCAGGAGAGATGGGGAGGGACTCTTGGTCAGGGAGGGGAGGCATAGGACGAAGGGGAAGGGTTTGACACCAAAAGAGGGGAGATGGAGATGAGATGTGGGGAAGAACTTCTTTGCTGTGAGGGTGGTGAGAGCCTGGCTCAGGTTGCCCGGAGAAGCTGTGGCTGCCCCATCCCTGGATCCATTCTCCTCCCAACCGCAAAACCAAGCCAGGATGAAACTCTTGGAACCTGGAGAACCTCTTGGACCCATGGTCCACACAGAGAGGCTGCAAAGCACTGGGGACTCCCCTTCGTGCAGCTGAAGACTGTCAAAGCGTTAGCTGATCCACACAAGGCTTTCCAGGATGGTTCTTCCCATCCAGCTCAGCTCTCACATGTCCCCCCCCTCCCTCCACTTGTCCCACAGCAGCCATCTGGCTCAGTTAATGGATGTGACAAACTCACAGCTGCTTCTTGCAGGGTTGGCTTTCAGCTGGTTCAGCCTCTCATCCCACTCTCCACACGACTACAGGATCAGGCAGCCGCTGTGGGGTGGCAGGAAGCCCCAGGACTGTCCTGGACTGGTGGGTGGCCACCATGACAGCTGAGAGGTGGAATGGCCTCAGAGCAGCACAAAGCTCCAGGAGCACTTCTGGAGTGCCTCCAGCCTGCTTTCCAGGGGAGGGCAGAAGAAACCCCCCAAATCCACTGCATGGAGCTTGTACAATCGGTATCACTCAGGATATTTAAGGGATTACAGAGACAGAGCTTCCACGTGCCAGAGGAACGGCAGCTTCCCTCCCTGGCCATAGAGGGTCATATATGGAGACCTTTGTGCTCCTCTGGAGTCACAAAAATAGATGCAGAGGGAGAGATGGCACAGGATCTCCCTGAGAAGCAATAAAGAGATGAAAAGGAAAGGGAGAACCTGTTATTGAACATCCAAAAGGTGGGGAAGAAGATCCTAAGATGCCTTCACCAGCAGGGTGAGAGCAAGCCCAGGAGGGAGTCCAGATGTACCAGCAACACTCAACTATTTGGGTTAGTTCAGAGTAGAGGTGTCAGGAGGGGCTGGTAAAGGTGCTTTGAAGAACCAGGCAGGACTTTGCAACCGGCTGAGGTGGAACTGACGCCTCTTGAATATGGACACAGGTAAAAAACTATCAACAACAGCTCAGGGTGCAGCTGTGATTGGAGAATGACCCAGAAAACATGCCCATTTTCCCAAATGATGGGAAACCATGGTTAAGAAACAAATCAAGAATAGCTCAAACTAGTTTAATGGCAATATCCAAGCGAACGTGTGACCTTGCTGTGAGCGCGTGTCCCTGGGTACGGCTCTGCCTGCCCAGCAAGGAGACACAGAGAGAAAAGTTGTAGAGAAGGGAAAGAGAAATGATTAGTGGCAGATGAAGGTGCCTGCGAAAGGACAGATCGAAAAGATTAGGCCTGTTAAATTTAGAGAGGACATAATGTGTAGGGAGCTTGATGGAGCTCTACAAAACAATGCTGGCAATAATGATAAAGCCAGAGAAGGGCTCCTGTTTACCCTTCCCTCTGATGCAAGGACAGAGGATGCTCAGTGAGGCTGCAAGGACTCTCTGAGTGGCGTCAACAGGAGAAAAGGACCTGGAGGAAAAGCAGCTCAGATGCAGCAGAGCTCAGCTCTGCATCCAGCTCCATCCAGTGACCTTCAGCAGATTTGCCTCATTCTTTTGGGGACAGTTCCTTCCCCTGTGACAAACTGAGGGGCTGGTGGACAGCAAGGGCTGCGGCAGCACCGGAGAGCCCAGTCCCCACCAACACCACTGCCAGGGCACCTGAGTTTTGTCCTCACGTGGGGCAGCTGATGCCCTCTGCCTTACACCTTAATGCCCTACGCCTTAAAAGCCCTTCATAACCGCTGTTAACGAGGCAGCGGCACAGCTAATGAGGCAAAGAGATGCTGTAGGTAAGAGATAAACCCAGAGTCCTACAGCAAGCCAAGAAGAGAGCCGATTCCTTCAAGCTGGGCTGATGCAAACCTGCAGCTTGAAGGGAAGAGGGAGGAGAAGACAGACACATTGCAAGGGCCACCGCGAGGCCCGTGTTGGCCCAGGCCAGGTCCTGCAGCACTATCTTCTGCTTTGGCTCCAGTAGGATGGTCAAAGGTCCTGCAAACAGAGCCCTCTGCTCTTGGCTGGCTTTCTGACTCCTTCTGGCTCCTCTGACTTTCCCTATGGAAGGCCAGCAGACTTGGCAGGTCAGGAGCAGGGGATGGTGGCCCTTTGCAGGGCTGGTTGGAGGGGAGGAGCACAGAGATGAGCTGTGTCAGGGTGGGACACTCACACCAAGCCCAGCGGGCTGCGCAGCACAGATGGGTTGCCAAAAACCACGTACCAGGGATGTGAGACTTCCCTGGTTTGAAAGGCAGATCAGCCTGGAGCCAACCTCAGCTCTGCACAGAGAGAGCCAGGGGCAGCCAGCTCCACCTCAGCTCATCCATGGAGACCAGGAAACCAGGAGGGAGGGAGCCCAGGGGAAGGCAAAACGACACAAACGACCACATTCCCCACCCTCAGACTCCACAAATATCTCAGGTTCCCCTGGAGCTTTGTCAGCTTCGAGCAACAATTGAGAAATTGCTGACCACCAATGGACCAGGGGAGGAGAACTCCACAAGTGCCTCAAGTGCCAAGAGAAACACACATTCAGGTGCAATGAGCATCATCTCTCAGGTCTTTCCAATTCACTGGGCAATTCCCCCCACAGTGGATTGAGCTGCTAAAATGAGGAGCACCGGGCTCACTGCAGCACCGAAACAATGAAAATCCAAATTTGATTAGATAGTTTTATTGCAATTATGAATCTTTAATAGTTTTCCATATCAGGGATTAAACTTTCATGATTTTTTTGTGCAAGACAGCTATACAGATTTAATAACCTTCCTTTAGTTTCTCCTTTCAGGGGTGGACCAAGATGAACCTGGCAAGCCCTCGCAATCCCGGGGAGACCAGGGGGGCCCTGGACAAGCTACATCTGTCCTTCATCTCTGCCTCAACATTTATTCAAAGTCCTTTATGGCTTTCTGATCTCTTGTGCTTCATCAGTAGAGTTCCCAGCACAAGCCCACCTCTATCTGGTGCTGCTGGAATATTAACACCGGGTGAGAACAACCAGCCACAAAATACTCAGATAATTTTGAGCACCTCATGCAGGGGGGGGAAAAAA